GAAGCAGTTAAGCCTATTCTTAATTTTCTCTCTTTGTCAGTTTCAAAGCAGGAAATTATAATTATAATGTCGCCCCAAATCTCTGGCATTCTGTTGATTTCATTTAGAAGGTGTAAATCTAGTAAAGCATGAACAGAGGTCTGTTGCCAAATTGGTGGCTGTATTTGTCTGTGTAGGTTGTATTTCCATAGCTGTCAGTTGAGATGGTTGCCCCCTATATAAAGTGGTCATAGAGTCATGCGCATGCTTGAAATTTTAATCTTATCTAATTTTTTAGCACTTCGTACTTTGAGTTTCTATTATGTATGCCATTCTAAAGGGTGATGTCTCAGCTTTTGTATCTTTGGGGATCACATGTTGTGAATGAAATTGGTGTTTTAAGTAGAGTTCCTGGGGAAGTTTTTGCCAACAATCATTGTGAACATCCCACATGCTCTATTGTAATAAGAAAGCAGAATAAATAAACTAAACTAGGTGGTCAGGATTCTGGGAGGGTGAAAACAACTATAATTTCTTTTATAATGATGAAAAGCAAACAAAAACCCTGCACAAATAGTTTTAATCAATGTTTAAAGACTAGTCTCCCAGTCTGTTGCTTGTTTGACAGATAGTCTTGGGTGGGGTGGAAATGGAGTGGGAAAACAAACAATTATTGTACAGATAATAGAATTTACTGGGTAAGTAGAATGAAAAATTATTTCAAACACTTATTAGGCTACTTTGGCTCGCAATCTACTTTAGTTACCTTTCCCAGCTACAGATTATTTTATAGACTGGATTATTTCAGACTCATAATTACAAGAGTTATTAAAAATGCTGGCACATACTAGATTAGCAGTTTTATTTTTTAAAAGATTATTGAATAGAATTTCATTTCAATAAAAACTCAGTTCTGAGAGAAGTCATCTGACCCAGAGATGCCTAATCTGTGGCGCATATGAGGTCATTTTAATGCTTCTCATCTCACTCTGACCATGACCAACATCATTTATTGATCATGGCACTCTTTCCAACTGAGCTCAGATTTTGCCTTAGAATCTTTCTCCAGTCAGAGGTATAGAAAGTCTCTTCCAATTAATGAATAAGAATTGTTTGAAACCTGTTTGCCACCCCTGATAGATTCTAAATTTCTTGATGAAAGAAGATAAATAAGATAGTTGAGGATGGCCCAGCTATTTATTTAGTACCTGAGAAGACTTAAAATAGAGGTCACGTGGCTCTCAGTTTAGTATTGTTCCTATTGCCTTATGCATAGATTAGAAAGGATTTTGAGATCGTAAGAGAAAACGTGCTTTAGGTACATTATAACTTTGATATAGGTTTTTTGATACATTATAACTTTGTCTTGTATTACTAATAATGCTATGGTGTGTATTCCATTTAGGAACTTCCAGTAATGGAATATTGCTTATATTAATAGGACATAGTAATTTTATTTTTCATGATTTGGCCCACAATTTGATTATAATCTTGTTATAAAGAAGATACATACCCATACACGAACACACACAGATGGTCATTCAGGAGACTTTTTGGTGGGATCGAAGAGGTATGATATTCCATTTATATTTTGAGAAAAACCTAAAATAATGTAGTATTGACAATTGCTATGATTATGTTTCATTCAGGCTAATTATTTCAAAAAAGAGATTCCTATATTATATTAATTTTTTGGTTTTAATATTATAAAAGTGAATATATCTATAGGAATTTGATAATTTTAATTAAAATTTTCAAAACTGGGTTTAAATATAAAAAAAACTTTCTCATAAACTTTAAAAATTTAACCATTTGTTTAGGATATTGGAAATAAATTCTCCATGTTTGCCACTATGAAATTAGTTTCAGATAACCCCTTTTCCCATTTTATGTTCAATGTTGTTTTTCACTTTATAAACAGTGAAACTTATATCTCATTGAGTTAAGTTATTTTGGGGGAAGGAAAAAGTACAATACCCAGATTCATTGACTTGTAATGACTCATTTTAGTTTTTCATTGAATTAATCATTGATACAATTACTGCTACTTGATTTTTTCCCCTCCTTCCTCTGATAATAAAAGGGGCATTTTATCTCAGGGAAATGTTAATTAAAATAGTGTTGGTTCATAAGCATGCTCAGAGAGAGATTTTTAAATCTCATTTTAGAAGCAGTGGCATCATGCTTATGAACTTCAAGTTTTCTTTGTTCTTTTTCCTCATTGCTTTTCTCTGTGAAACTCTAGGAATAATAAGGAAGCATGTCCAAAATTTCTTCTAGCAAGAAATTTAGATGGGGACATACATATATTTTATACATTCTTAATCACTAAGCTTTTCCAAATAAACTTAAAGAGTTTCTTTAATAATCTTTGATTTTGATAGAAAGGAAAAGGACCAAAGTTTGGTTTTTCCACACATTTTAGTAAACAAATAAAGAAATTGACTAAACCTGCCAATTATTTCACTATTAGAAACATGTGCTGAGGACTTATTAGATGCAGGCCAAACTATTAAATTCAGACCTTATCTTTAAGGAGCTTCCTATCTAATTGGGATGTATTTTAATTTATTGGAGATAAGTAGAAATTAAGTGACTATTAATGTTAGATACGCAGAAGTCATTATCACCTTTGTAAAAATGGAAGAAATAATATAAATCCATCTGACCAATAAGTGTTGGATAATTGATTATTGGGGAGGCAAAGTAATATTAGAAATCACAATTAAGCTTCCCTTTTCCTTGCCTATTTTTATGTCATTTTTACTGAAGAAAATTGCTTTGACATTTTTGCTAATAAAGTCCATTTTTTATGTTTAAGAGAATAGAAATTGATAAAATAGACTTAAATTTGATGGATTCTTTATAAAAATCATTATTAGAATGATAATTACTGGAACTGCTTTGTGGTAATTGAGCAGCTTAGATAAAGATTCTACTACATGAATGGTAATGCACATGAAATTTTCTTAAAAGTGATTTTGTACTGTGTAGAATGCCACAATTTTATAAAATAGTTCTAAAGTGACATTAAAATGTTACTGGATATGCTTATCTAGACATGAGGGTAAATTTGACATAAACTAACTTGATGTTTGGCCAGGACTGGAATTCCAGTTCCTACACCTACTCACCCACCCACATCAATTGGAAAAATGCCTGCTTAAACAGATGGGCTTTGGGCTGTGCTCTCAAAACAAGCAAGCTCCACCTTTATTGAACAAAACATTGAATGAAAGTAGACTATAGTGTACTATTGTGCATTATTGATTTAATCATTGAGTGAAGAGCTCTTATTTATTATTACTGGTATTTATTGTGTTGTCGGAAATACCTTTTTCTCTTATGAATGAATACGTGAAAATTGGAGGATAACAGATGGAGTCTCAGGGATCTGCAAAACCTATAGATAGATAGGGAAGTAGTTCTCAGTCAAATATGAAAATAAAAATCAGCAGGAGTGTGAAATGCCATGTGGTTTTATAAAAGCATGTAACTACGATTTTAGAAAATGTTTGGATTAGCCAGCAGACATGGGTTGATCATGAAATTTCCTCATTCAACAAGGCGTGTGAGACGAAGTAGAATTCTCAATGTCTATCCTCATTCCCCTCCAAGTTACCACTTCAATAGCTACAAAGCTTGATTTGGCTACCGTTCTGGCTACTGTCTGTGTAAATATTACACACTTACTTATTGTGCTTTCAAAGGGATTTGAGGACCTGAATGAGAGTGTGGCAGATGACTTTATGACATCAGAAATGAGTTTTGTTTATGGTTGATTAATGGTGTTGCTGCTCAGTTCGTGTTTGTGACAAAAGCACTAAGGGAAAGGAAAGAGCAGCAATTAGCACTGTAGCTGGAACATCATATAAGACTAAATATAGCGCTCTACTATTGATGTGTTGAAAAGGATTCAAGGGCATTTGCTCTCCATGCATTTTCATGATACTCTCTTTAGTGTTGCAATAATCAGCAAGTCATCATATATTTAACCTCATGAATCTATGAGTTTGGGCATTTGTTCTTCACATGATCCATTATTTATTGATTGAATCATTAACACTCTGATGTTTGCTCCTCTTAAGTTATGACAGTGCATGGGCAGCATGCTGAAATTCAAGTAAAAGACCTCCTACTCCTTTTTCCTAAATTATTTATTTAATCTTTGGGTAACTCAGTTTTGGTCACAAAGAAAGGGAACTTGGTTGCTACCTACTTTCCTTATACTACTGAAGAACTATTTTTTTAATAGTATGAGCTAATTCCTATGATATGTGAGAACTCTTATGGAATAAAGCTCAGTGCAGTATATATTGAATTCTGTCTTTGGATAAACTTAAGCATAGGTTATTTAATACATCGGCAGAAACCTTCTATGAAACTTTCTGAAAATTTGACCTCATGAAAAAAATCCAAATGGAATTGTCTTATATTTATTTGGCTTCTATAAATATGTGTGCTGGATTAATGGATAAATATATTTAAAAAATGACATGGCATTGTTTAACATTTATTTCTTTCCCCCAAATAAAAATTAATAGAAAAAGTAATAAATATGTTACAATTTAAGTTTGAGTTATTTCTTACTGCAAAATGTTTTGAGATAGTTTGTGTTTAATTTAATCCAAATTATCACTATACTTTCTTGTTACATTGTCCTTTGAAATCATTGAAATTGCCTAAATTATTCTATCTCAACTTGGTAACATGGGGAAATCAGAAGATTTATTTATATACAGAATGGAGAATAAGACAATCTCAACATGTTCTTAATTTTATCAGAAGCATATACATTATAAAAGTAGTAGCCATTTGAAGAGAAAAAAGAGATAAAATGGTGAAATATTTCAATTTTCATATTAGTAATAAATTCTGCCTTTAATTGAAAGTACATATTTTGTGTTTATGTATGTGTATGAGACACTTGATCATTACCAGCTTTTTCTTGAACTACTCTGGTATACTATATTTTTTATGTATTATTTACTGTATTTTGTTTTGTCTTTTATTTTAAACAGCAAATGCCAGTCTTCTTGGAGGAGGAGGTGGTAAGTCCTAAATATCACTTAAGTTAAATTTTTTACACTTTTATTATTACACCAACTACAAGATTTTTAGTAAGTTCTGTAATACTTTAAAGAAAATTAATTTTGCTGTAGTCATTAACCACAAAGATAATAATCTTCCCCCCAACATTTATAATATAAATATCTTGGTTCACCTAAGTTTATTTTAAATTATTTCAAAATATGTGGAATACTGTTGTTCTTCTTGTCAAACTTTGTATTTCTACCTTTGGCATAAGGTGTAATAGCTATAAGCTATTGCCATGAACACACATATAGTATATGACACTCAGTTTTGATATGAATTCAGAAACAACAATACATTTGGAGGTTGGCTGCAGTTTCTTTTTTCACCATAATGACTTTCTTTTGCTTTTCATGACTTTGTAGCCTGAGAGCTTAATATATTTAATATCAGCTACTTTGAAAAATAAAAAAGAAATTAGTATTGACTGTTTGCATTTTCTTTCCTCATGGTTGGAAGAGAAAGAAAAAGAGACTAAAGTGAGATGAAGAAGAGAAAAATTTCTATTCTGGGAATTTTTTTGACACTAATATCTTATAACTATATTTTGTTTCTAGGTTGGGGAAATGAAAGTTTTCATAGTTCTGGTATACATAATATAATAGGGGAGAAAAAGTATACAATAGGGGTTTTTTTCATATAAGACACAGATGGACATAAATAGGTTTGTTCTCTCTCTCTGCTACTCTTTTGCACTCTTTCCCTCTCTTGCTCTTGCTTTCTCTTTTCACATACTTGGTTTCACATACTTGGTTGATAGGCTTTCAAAAAATTTTCTGTCCTTCATCTGGAGGTTTCAGTGTAATTTTTATTTGGAAATTAAAAATTTAACCATTGTTTCTATGTAATGATCAATTGATTTTTTTAAAACAGAATCGTGGAAATAATAGAAAGAGTTTACACAATTAATGGAAAGTGATCTTCATATTATGGCATGCCAATGCTTGTATTATAGCAGAATGTCATGAAAAGAGTATAGGATTTGCAATTGGACTTACTGTGTGAAGACTGTAAATGCATTACTTAATATCTCCAAGCCTCTGTTTCCTCATCTTGAAAAAATAGGGATAATAATATCAACTACTCAAAATGTTTATTGTGAGAATTAAATAAAATTGTCTGGTATGTAATAGAATAGTATGGGATTAATACATGTCTATTTCTTTTCTTTGTCCCTAAATTATTTCAGAAAATCTAAATCTACAGGATTTTTCATTATACCTTTTATTGTATTTTGGGGGAATTAGAAGAGAAAATTTCCCTTAGAAGTTGGATTCCCAGTAATTTTTCCCCTCTGTCTTTTATAGTAAGTAAAGAAAATATTATTAAAATAAATTGTCCATAGTTGTAGTTTTCTTACAAGAAACCTAATACTGTTCATAACATAAAGTCAAAATTGAGTCTATGTAAACACATCCATCAAGTTAAAACAACAGACAAATTAGCCAGACAATTCATTTATTGCTTTTCATTATTTCTAAAACTGACTTGACTAATTATATTAGTTAAAATCACTTTAGCTGTTTATAACAGGAAAAGAAATCCAACATAACAGTAGCTTAAAGGAGATATAAATGTATTACTGTCTCGTGTAAAAGTGGTATAGATATAGACTGGAATGGCATATGGTAATTCCATAGTGGCATCAAGAACTTAAGCTCTTCATTTCCTGCTCCTCCTTCCTGGGTCCCATACTGAGGACCTCACCATCCATGATGGCTGCTAGAGCTCTAAATAAATATGGTGCAGGTCAAGAGAAGTAGGAAAGCCAAAAAGTCAAAAAAAGGTGGACCCCCAAAGATGAGCCAGTTTTCTTTAAGCAGATTTCCCTGGAATCCCACATTATCTTTGCATTTGATCAAATGTTCATTCCAGGCATGTAGTTTTTTATTCCAGGAAGCAATGTCCTCATAATAAAAGGTCAGTGTTCTATTTACTGAGGTAGGGGAGAGTGGAGATTGAGGTAAACAATTAACATTATGTACCTGCCATAGTGGTATCCTCTATATTGTCAAGCTGATTTGTTTAAATATATGTATGCATAGTTGGTATGTATAGAATTGATTCTAGTGATTTGGCTTGTATTAATATTTCCTTATGGTTCTTTTATCCTACATGAGAAGATACATTATGAATTTTTAGCAATGGGAAGGTATTCAGGAAAAGGACAGCTCAGTTTTCTGTTTACCTGAAGTATATACTTTATTATTTTCTTCTAGATGTTTGATTTTTCTATATTTGCCATAATTTATAATTTCTGAATAATAAAATTAGCAGCTCAGCATCATTATAAAGATAAATTACAAGTATTTAAGATGGTTGTACTTTATTTCATTAAAGTTTGTCATTGACAAGTTTAAATTCATTTATGCACTCCTGGAGATGTCAAGATTGCTCTAAAATAACACATGTCTGATTTTTGGAAAGCTGCATTTAAAAATTAAATTTAAAGAATATTTTTAGCCTTCTCTGTACTGATTTTTGACCTTCTGATTCTATAACAGATCTTAGTGATATTAACTCTCAGTGATATTTATAAAGTAACTGTAATCATCTAAGAAGGAGCAAATCAAATTGATGTAATTATCTTAGATTTAATCAACAATTCCTTTCATTGACATAAATTGATATCCCTTCAAAGGCTTCTGAAGGGAATAATTCTTTGATAGACTAAACAATTTGGTCAAGAAAATTTGACAGCACATACAAAAATAATAATGGGAACTTACATGCCATTTTTTAGGTCCTGAGGAGGGATTCTCCCAAATTCTATATAAGTAGTACTTGACTGTGAAATTTAGACAAAATTATTATATATACAATTGTATTATCCATGCATTTTTATCATTTTGTTCTTTTTTGAGGGCTTATAACCAAGAATAGAGGTCTCTTGAAAGGAGATTTAAAAAATGGTCATATATCATCCTCTTAGTTCTGATATTAAAGTGAGAGATTTACTTTACATTGCTGTGAATTTTCATCTTTAGGTTAGACGTCAACCTTTCTATGAACTTAGTGTCACTGACTGCAGTTCATTGTAATGAACATATGTGATATAATTATATCTACTCAGCCATTCAAGTTAAAATGCTTAGTAAAATTGATCATTTCTGTGTATATTTCTTACATATGTTAAAAGCAGAGACAGATATACGAGGGCTGTCCAGAAAGTATCCAGCCATGTAACCATTGTTGTTATATTAACAATAGCTGGATACTTTCTGGACAGCCCTTGTATACTAACTTCTTAAGTATGTATCATATATATATCATATATATGATATATGATATATGTTACATATATATCATACATATAAGTATGTATCATAGATATTATATATAAGTATGTATCATATATATCATATATATATGATATATGCTTTTACCAGTATATGGCTGGTCTATAGTGACTGCATTTTACCTTTTGGGAAGCCTTTACAATAATGTTAATAAACTGATGCTCTGTCAATATTTTTTACAAGGTTTCTGTTGTTATACCAATACTATGCTGTATAGCTGCATAGCACTTTGGAAAAAATTATGTCAACAGGTAAATTTTTTCTCACCTAGTCCTTTTATTATTAATATAGGCTATATTATGTTGTGGTAATAGATAAATATTGAAATCTTAGTAGCTTAATAAAATAAGGTTTATTTCTTGTTCACATCTTAGTTTGAATAGGATTGGTGGCTCTCCTGCTTGAGCTCTTCTATGGGTGGTGACACAGAGACCCAGGCTGTTTGTTTCCATATCTTCTAGCTCTACCATGTAATATGTGTCTGCTAAGGATGTCACAGGACAGGAAGAGAGAGCTGAGCTGGAGGATCTTGTGGGATATCTTAATATATATAGACCAGTTTGGGAAATAGCTTATGTCACTTTTGAACACGTTTAAATGTTTGGAATTCAGGCAAGAGACCCCCAACCTAACTATAAAGAAGGATGGGGAAAATGGAGTCTTCCAGAACTCCCAAGAAGAGGAAATAGTATTGTAAATAAATGGCATCGTCTCTGCCACAGTGCTCACATAAGATCAGTGTTATTATTTATTAGTAGTACCATTATTTTTATTATTTTAATGGTTGAGAGAAAGGATATTTAGGATATTTAGTTACTTCAAGGTTACACCGTTTATGAAGGGCAACATTTGAATGGGAAGACAGTGTTCTTAACTCTTACTCCAGGGCTCTTTGCCTTTGTTCTTTGATTTTTTACTACACTTCTACTCTTCAGATTTGCTTTCTCTTTGCACAGGTAGGTAACTCTGTTACAAGGAAAAATGAATGAGGACAGAAAAACATGAAGTTAAGATATTCATGATGCTTTCCTTAGCTTATTTTTACAAATCTCAAGTTCTATTGATAATTTGTAAGTACATACAATCACACTATCTTACAGTATCTTTGGATTGCCTCCCAGATACATATACTTTTCTGAGTATTTGTGGTTTAGTCCTAGAAAACATTACATTTTAAATACATGGTTACCCTTTTTGTAATAGGAATGTTTTACATGCACAAAGTCCTGTGCTATTGGTACTTTTGGAATACATAATAAAAAATACGTCATTGTAGTTAGCCTTAAATTATATAAAGAAGCAGAATTAGAAAGAAAAATCAGAAATAAAGAGTGAATTTCTTAGTTCCTTTCAGATCATTGCATAATAGGCAGAAACAAAGTTTACAACCTCTTACTTTAGATAATGTCTTTTCTCTTTTGTTGACATGATAGTTAATATAAAATCAGAACCTGCTGATAGAACCCAAACAGGATATTGTTTGTGGGATTTGCTTTCTCCTCCAGTCTATCCAAGCACCTGAGGCATAATGTTAGACATTTAAAGTGACAGTTCCTGAAGGAGTGGCAACTTAATGTTGGCTTTTGTACACATAACTTTGTATGATTGCTGTTTTAATTATATATACATATATAAATATAATAAACATACATGTATTT